ATTGATTTTAACGTAACTGTTGTAGTAATTCATGTGCATATATTTTTACATAATTTTTTTTCATTTTTTTTTGAGTAGGCTAAAAAAAGAAAAGTATGAATGATGAATGAATATAATTAAAAAATACTTCTTCAAATTCTTTTTTTCAATTTCAAATTCTTCTTCTATTCTTGCGCACAAAATACCATAAAAGTGATCAAAATTTTGATTTAAATTTCAGATTCATATGGTTGGTGGTATTATTGGTTTGGTGGCTACCATTTATTTAAAGCCACGTCGAAATCGATTCAGTGAAAATTCGGTGCATCAAATGAGTTCACCGACAAATGCGCTTCTTGGAACTTTTATGCTTTGGTGGGGTTGGTTTGGAATTAATTCTGGATCAGCCTGGGGTGTTACCAATGGTCGTTGGCGACTTGCAGCCAGGTAAAACGAATATTAATTAAATATACTTCAAATATTCCATAAGGTAAATATTATTAAAATATAGCCAGATAATTTCATCCTTAACCGCAAATAATGAAATATTTCTCTCCTCATTTAGTATTGGAAATCATTCTTTCCATTTTCCAAGGAGCAAAACATGTTTTGCTTTTTTAAAATTTAGCTTATAGAAATATTAAATATTTTTCATAGAGAAGTGAAAGAATTTTAATTTGAAAATTGAATACCATGCAAAAAAATAAGGGAATATTTTAGAGCATCGGTGGCAACAATTATGAGCTCAATTGGCGGTGGTGTCACATCAATTACATTTAGTTTTGCTAAAACAAGAAAATTACAAGTTAATTATCTAATCTTTGGATTACTTTCTTCAGTAGTTGCTATTACAGGTAAGTTTTTATTGTATTTACATAAAGCTATTTTTTTTTGAAATAACATTTATATATCATTACTTATGTAATTTGAAAACTTTTCATGCATTGCATCAATATTCATACATTTCAAATTTTTCTTATGTTCAAACTATTTTATTTTAATTATCCATTTAAATTTGAATTGAGTTACAGTTGAAGGTAACATTTAGGTTAGCAGTATTCTGCTGAATGAAAAATAGAAGTTTATTAAAATATTCAAAAGGAGGAAATGATAAATCAGTTCATTAGAAATGTTTAAAAAGTCTTGATTGATTCTATCAAATTTGCTTTAATTTCATTACCGTTTTAAAGAAAAAAAGAAGTATAATTTATCAGAAGTTTTTTTCCAAAAAAAAAGATTAAATGAATTTTTCAATTTTAATTTAAAAATACAATGAGATCAATTTGTTCTTTGGAATGTTTCTAGCAAAAACAATCATATGCGTTAGTTATCTTCTTTTCTTAATTCATAAACAGATATTAACGAAATTGTTGATTAATTAATTACTAATTAGTGAAAAAATTTTATCAATTTGTTAAAATGGCTTATTATCATCATATTACACTCATATTGATTAGTTTTTATTAATGGGAAGTTAAATTTTTAAAAATGTTCATTTTCATATAGCAATTTGTGCCGTTGCACGACCCTGGCATGCATTATTGATCGGTGCAATCAGTTCAACAATTTCCATCTCAGTAATACCGGCATTGGAATTTTTGAAAATTGACGATCCGGTTGGAATTATACCAATTCATCTTACATCATCCATATGGGGTATGTGTGCAGTTGGTATTTTTGCGGAGGATGATCAGGTGCTGGTATGTCTTCATCAAATGATAATCATTTTATTTGAAAAATTTTCAAATTTTATTAATAATTCAATAGTACGAGAAAGATGAAAATATTTCATAATCAAATTTAATACTTAGAAGAAATTGTTATCAAAATTATTTTTTTTTTTTAAATTTAGGCAGTAACAAGTGGAAATTATGGTTTGATATATTCGGGAAGTTTTAAATTGCTCGCAATACAAATGCTTTGTACAATAACTGTTTTGATTTACAGTGCAATCGTTGGACTTATTACGCTCATTGTAAATTTATTTAAAAATTTTCATCCATTTTTCTTTTTTCTTGTATCTTTCCTTTATAGCATTTTTTTTTTATTTCATTGTTAATAATTTATTAATTACGATACTTTTTCACAGTATAATCGTTAATAATCTATTAATTACGGTATTTTACGATTACTGTATCTGTAAGCAATATTTAAAGGAATGATGGAATAATTCTACTAAGCCTAAATTAATTAATCATTAATCTTTTTACAGATTTTGGGTAAAAGTCCTCTTGGAATACGGGTTACAGATTACGAGGAGCAGATTGGTGCTGATGTTGTAGAACATGGCTTAGCTGGCACTAACATTGCACGATATCATGTTGAAAAACCGTTATCATCGAAGTTTGTGAAAAATATTATAATTTATTATCATATCACTTTACAAATATCCTTATTAAAATACCAACAAACTAAATCATTTAATTTGCTAATTAAATAAAATTAAATTAACTTTTAATTTATTATTTTTTTTTTTGTAGAACTTTTGCAACTGTTACAAAAGCAATAACAAAATGGAAAATTCAAACACGTGCTAATCGAGCATTACGTGAACAAAACGCTATACGCGGATCTCGACGTGAACCAGATGGTGTGTTAATTCGACAACGTAAAAGTAAACTTTCTAATGATAGTAAGTTTCCTTTATTTTCCTTTTACATTCCAAAATTGATATTTAATTTTTAAATTTACATATTATAGTTTTATAGTTGAATAAATTATATTTACCATTTTTCATTTGATATTATCATTTAAAATCCATTCTTTTAGCTTTCTTTCCACTAAGTCATCGATCACGACATTTGCCTTCACGTGTAAAAATGAGCACCACACCTTCAATATTACTTTCATCAAACATTCCCAAACAGGGCAATTTATTGTCGCAACAATTTCGACATTTCGTAACACCGTTTAGAAAAAAAGAAGAGAATAGGAAATATGAAACAGTACCTACTGCGAAACGATCAATGAACGATGAAGATGGAAAAGTAAATTTTAAGAATTTAACAACTTTTATATCAAAGTTCCATTATTTGAATATATAGTCAATAAATGAAGGAAATGAATGGATGCATTGATGCAATGATAATGATAAATGCTTTTTTCGCAATCATCTTAAACGATATGAAAGAAAAATTACTTTTTTAATATCTTAGTCAAAGTTTTTGATTGAAATAAATTAGAATCATAAATTATCAATGGAAAAGATTTTGAATGATTAAATTCCAATCATGTATTTCAATTTTAATTTTAATTCCAGTGAAATTAAGACAGATTTTTTTTGTTTCTGCTATAATAGAATGTGTAGGATGAAAAATGAAAAATAAATGAATTAAAGGTCAAAATTTTAAGAACAACTTCCTGTAAATTGATTAATGATTAATTTAATCCAATTTATTTAGAACATTTAAAAATTTTTATTTATTTTCAGAATCCAAATTACATTAGAAGAATATCAAAATCAAATTTTATACCAATAATGAATAGTCGATTTACAAATGACGCTATTGGTACGTTACAATCATTAAATCTGAATCGATTACAATTGGATCATAGTACTGTACCGGTACAGGTACAGATATATCGAAGATCACTGGATCATGATATCGTATCAGATAGACGGGTGCTTCAGTGTGTCAAATCAAGTACAGATTCAGAGAATACAACCAGGATTGTTACTTCTGACACATCGTTTAGGAATAAAATTTTACCATTAATTTCTGATGCTGTTTAAGAGAGAGAGAGAGAGAAAAAAAAGATAGAATTGCTTTTTTTTGAAAATGTTAAAAAATTTTTGTTGAAATTATCGTGTTCAATGAGATGTGTGTGAGGAAAAAAAGTTTAAAAAGTATGAAAATGAATTTTCAATTCCGGAAAAAAAAAACAGGATGGAAAAAGAAAAAGGATTGAAAGTTAATTCAGTAAAAAAAACAAACTTTATAATCCTCCTTTCAGCTTTATCAAAAAGCATTTTAATATTTAAATTCAATCGCAATAAATGGCAACAAAAAAATATATGATACCATGCAGATGCTTTAAAATCAATTTCAAAATTTGTCATGCTCCATTTCAGCATACCCATTCATCATCTATCTTAAAATTTTGAGAAATTTTACAAATTTAAACTTACAATTTGTGCCACTGTCGAAGAATTGTTGTGCCAGCGATGTAATTGTTTGTTATATCCAAAAATCGAAACTTGTTATTAAATCCGTATCTGTTAAAAAAGAAAGAGAAAAAAGCAGTGTAATTCGATGCGAAATTGTTTTGTCGGTTTTTCCGAAATCTTAGGATTGATTTTCTAAAAATTTATTATTTTTGTGATTTATTTTTACTCTTGTCAATTTTTTCAAATAAAATTTCTAGTAAAATAAAGTTATTTTTGTGAGGACAAAATTGTTCTTAGCAATTTTTAAATGTGCTGTATCATCAAAAATATTTCAAATAATCTTCCAATATTTTCCTAAAACACTTTTTGTGATTGAAATTTTTACCAAAGGTTAAACTTCAACAGATTAAATTAGTTTTTTTGCGTTATCTTTTGGAGAATTTACATAAAATTCCTACGTGAACTTTTTCATCCCATTCCATTTTCAGTAATATGATGTTGCTAATATTTTGTTCACCATTTAAATGTTAAATTTTTCGGTATTCTTTTCAACATTCTTTTTAAAAACGAATTGATATTCGATTTCAAGGCTAATCATTTAATGCGTAATTCCAGGACGTCAAATAATTATTTGATAGGAAACAATAGAAATGGAGAACTCTGATTGCCTTATTAAAAGATAAATTAATATATCAAGTAAAATTTAGGTCAAAAATTGAGATTTTTGCAACAATTTAGGAGTTGAAAAAGAAAAAGAACCTAAAAAAACCCATAATCAATTTCAGAATTTATTACTGATGCACAGCTATCCGAATTTGAAATGCCTCCAACTCCAATTAAAATAAAATTGAAACTAATTCAATAATTCCAAAATTTTCATTTTTGAGGAATTTTTTTCCGTTTTTTTTTGAAGCATTTATCATTTCATTAATATTCATGTTTTGATGTGAATTCATATGGTTTCCACATGTATTTCCGGAAAAATTAAGTCGTTCGGTTTCTATTTTATGATTTTCCGCAAAGCAAAAACAACTTTTGAAAATTTATTGCTTTCTAAATGATAAACATTTAATTTCAAAATTAACAAAAAAAAAAGGAAAAAAATAAAACAAACAGATCAAAGTGCAAATTAGCCAATAAATATCATAAAACAATTAAAGGATAATTTCAACCAATAATAAAGCAAAAGGTGACTTTTATAAAGCAATTTACAAAGTGATGATAAGAGTAACATCTGTTATCATTATCTCTGAATAACACGTATTCCTCTAAATAATAAATGCTTAAATTATAAATTAATAAAATAAACGAATAATATTTTCCTTCAGTTGCTTTGCTTTTTTTTTTGTTCTCAATGATCAACAATTCAAATCAAACTCTCCGAAAAAAATTTTTTTTCTTACGATATTTAAGTTGTTCTAAATATTTGCTTGGCAATTATAAGTTTTTGTAGTTTTCTAAAAAAGTGCTATTTTCGTTTTTTTGAAAGAAAATTATTATTACTGAAAAAAAAGAAAATTTCTCATTTTTCATCATATTCTTTTTATTTTTTCAACTATTTAAATTAACTTAAATAATCACAAAGGCTTCTTTTCTTTTCATCCATCACTATTATTTTACTGATGTTATAATTGCTTGATTAAAAAAAATGAAAAATTCATTTAAAATATGACATTTCTTTTTATTTCCATCAATAACTTTGAAGTTTTAAACAATTCCGATATTATCAGTCATAGCCAAACAAATTTGTTTTTTTTTCTATTAATAAATTTGTTTTTATAAATTTTGCTTTGTTTAACTTTCCTACTAATAAAACATTCTTCAAGTAATCCACTTAGTAAACACTCGTTAAAACCAAAGTTTTTGAGCATAAATAAACATTCATTATTTTTATTATGTGTGTAAATAAAAAAAGAAATGATTTAGTTAGACAAAACAAAAAAAAGATGCAATTTTTTTCATTTTTCCTTTTCAATCCAAAATTTTTTTTCAATCAAAATTTGATTTTTTATTGATATTATATTTTAGAACTTTTAGCTAAAAATAAATTTTCAACAAATTCTTGTGTATATCTTAAAATTTTGGTATGTGAACTTCATTTCATATAAGGATATGAATGAGAAAAAAGCAAAATAGGTAGAAATTAGTTAATTTAGAGGATTTTTGAAATTCTTAAATTAGAATTAGATTATTTACATTATGCAATCAATCAATCAATCAATCAATCAATCAGTCAATTCATAACAAAAATTCACTGTTTTGAAATCTTTCGCTACTTTCTAACGATTTATTTCGAATAAACCATCGATCTTTTTCTCAAGTTCGTCGCTTAATCTTCCTTAAATTTCTTGAATGTCTCACAAGAAAAAATTCGAAACGTTTCCACAAATGCTATCAGAGGAAAACTGATAATTCGGAAGTTGCAATCAATTTCAGTTTGATAAACAGAAATTTTCGAAATTATAAAATTAATGAACAAAAATGCTATCGTCTATTATTTATAGCATTCTTGGACGAACACTTTTACTATCCATTCATTTATTTCATTATCAAAGTAATTTTTCAAATTTAACCAAACTCAAAAAATTTAGATTAGGAAATAATAATTTTTAAAAAAATTCTGTCATAAAACAGGCAGAATTTAAGAAAAAAAAAAATAGAAATTAGGATATAAATGTTTAGCTAGAAAATTTTCAAATCTCATAGCTGGAGCATCTAATTTTGTTAAACGAATTGCCATTTACAAAAAGATCGCAAACGATTTAAGAAAATATTATTGATGAAAAGATTGAAAAACATATTTCGAGAAACGAAAAAAAAAGTTAAAAATATAATCAAATGCTAAAGTAATTTAAATTTAGTGATTGTGGTTATTTTTCCATTTTCAAAAAAAAGTTCAATTTCTTCTAAACTTTTTCAATTTATAACTGCTGATGTAGGATTGCTAGTTTTCCTGATAAACTGTAGCAAAAAAAGTTTTTAAACTTAGTGCAAACAATTGAAATATTGCAAATTTAAAAGTATGAAATATTGCTAATTTTACTGTAGAATACTCGTATCTCCCGATCCTTACTTATAAGTCAAATAAACTTTACAATTGAATGCTTATTTTTTAACAACAGTAATAAGTTGTTAATACTGTTATGCAAATTTAATAATCAAAAAAATATGCACAAATAGCAGAGGTGAAAATTTAATCAATTCGATAACATAAAGTAATTCTATCTTTGTTTCGAAAAGAAGCTAATTTTGGAAGCAACTAACCAATACATTGGTCATTTAATCATTCAAATACAACTAAATGATTTTTTTCTTAGCAAAATAAAATTGATATGTGAAAAAATAACTATTTCTGCAAGTATTAATTTAAATTGCAGTAATTAGTTCACTGTCATCGACTCATAAATAATGTTATGAAATGAAAAAGATCACTGCAGTAAAATTTCAATTAAATTAAAAAACTTACATTGTACTCATATGATTTAACTCTTTCTCTCATTTCACCTTTTGCATTCCATTACTTTTTGCCTACATTTTCATACTTTTTTATGATTCAAAAAATTTTCACAAAAAAATCAACAAAAATTTTTTCATAAACAAAATGAAAGAATTATAAAATTAGCCACAATGTAGAAAAAAGGAACTTTTATAATTGTTTGTTTTGGAAATAAAAATTGATTTCTAAGTTATAGTAAAAGGAAAAGTTAGTTTAAAATCGAATAAGTGCTTGAATTGAAACACATATATATGCTATAATCCATAGCTTCAAAATTCGACTACTGGAATTTTATATTAGCTCAGAGGAATGACAACTGAAAATAAATGAAGATTTGATATCGGAAGTGTGACAAGAAGGATTTATCAGATGCAAAATTAGCCTAAGGTCGTTTATCACTGCTGCTAATAATAATAACAGCTACAAAGCTTTCAGAATTATGTTATCGGATGATAGCACTACATGCTTAGTATAAATTGTCTAAATTATTGAAAAGTTCTGGAAGATTTTTAAATTATTGAAAGAGTTCTGGAAGATTTTTAAATCATTGGAAGAGTTCTGGAAGATTAGGTATTGTAAAAATTTAATGTTACCAAAACAGGTAATGAAGCATTCATTTTTTTTTTTTATTTGTAAAATATGAATTAAATAGTCAGCCGGTGGAAGAATCGTTCTTTTAATTTTTCGACTTTCCTTTACATTTTAAATAATGATTCATCTCTTTTTCTGTAATGTTATGTTTTCCATTTTCATTTTTTTTTTTGTTCTTTTTTTTGTTGCTTCTTTTGAAGCAATTTTGATGAGACTGAATGATGATGATTGCTTCTACTTGATTTCTGAAATTATCGATAGATTTTTGTGATAGCTTTTTTAATATTCTATTAATTAAGTTATATTTCTTCTGTTATTCAATAAGTTTCATTTGATTAAAATGATTATCTTCCTTGTGTGGTTACAAAATATAACCACTTTAATGTGTTATTTAGCAAATTTTAATTTATTAAAAATTTAAAATTCTTGTATGATAGAAGAAAGACGCTTTGCTATCACATTGATCAGTTTTGTTATTCGATATTTAAATATTTGGATGGGAGGATGCCAATTGTCGTTCGATGATTTTTTTGTATTA